TCTAGAGACATCTGGTGCAAACTCCCTGTTTGGCAAGGGTCCATCTTCATTTAACAGTTGTTCATTTAGGCTTGGGAAATGCAGGCATTGGTGAACAGGAAAACTTCCAGTCACCATCTGGCCCTTTAATCCTCAAACTTTTAAGGTTCTTTCCTGTGAAAATTTAGCAACCTTGAAGTTGGAGGCATTTAATTAATCTGTGCTGACACGAGGAAGTCTCTACGAGTGAGGAAATTTTGGTATCCATTAACTTTATCGTAGCAACATTTCCACTCAAGTGCGTCCCTGACTTAAGATAGGACTAAAGGGCTGAGGATTTAGCTCAGTGGTTCCGCCACCTGCCTTGCAAGCACAAGGTCCTGAGTTAGATCCCCGGTACCAAAAAAAAAAAAAAAAGATACGACAAAAGGTTTGTACATTCTCTCCTATAACTGATACATTTTAAAAACCTGTCCCTCTGGGAAGGAATTCTGACTTTTAGAATTTTCATCTAGGATAAATATTTTCTTCAGATGAATTAAATAGAATTCTGGACACCATTCATATCTGCTTATTACATATAATAAATCAAAATAAAAACATAATAGCATCTCACAAGTTGCTTTGATTTCTCAAAATACTTTTTTAGTATTTAATATTTAGTATTTAGTATTTAGTCCTAAAATTGTAAAACACAGAATTGCTCGGTCTTTTGACATCAGCAAAGAATGTATGATGTTGCTTTATGCATATACTACCAGTAATAATAGTTGTCATTCAGTATGATGAAAAATTTCAGATTCTAAATGAAAATAATCTAATTCTGACAGAAAACCACCTGTGGACATGGTCTTGCCTCATTTCTTTTCTTCTGTCTTCTACAAAAGACCTGCGTATTTATTCAAGGTGCTTTAACAGGATATCCCAGTTAAAGCTTTGACAGACTGTTTATAGTTCACTTGTGCCCAGGGGCAGTGAAAGACACATTACAGGATAAGCAAGGTGACTCCTCAGCAGCAGCAGGAGGATGTGCAGTAGGATTATTAATGTTGAAATGAATTAGGATAGAATGACATGTCTGCAATAGCACCAAGGGCTAGTAACTAAACAAGAGTTCATGTGCAGAAATCCATAATGCTTATCATTTCCTTAGTGTAAAGGCAAATAAAATTTAGGGAGAGGGAAGAAGGAGGAGATGTAAAGATAGATGGGGCAATATTAAAAATATTCTTCCAGCACAAAGACATTTAAGTCTTCCTTTGTCAAAACTATTTGGTCTTCTTGAAAAGTTGGCCTAGGGCCTGGGAGTTCAAGGTAAGTAGGGAGAAAGGAAGCAGTTCTTTTTACCCAAGTGTTCAATCTTCTGATCTTGCTTTACATTCACGCTATCCTTGCATGTCTGTTCTGACCGGTTCATTACACTTATTTTTGTGGGATGTGCTTGATTCATGTTCTCCCAGTACAGAAGAAGCTGCCTGGAGCCGGGATTTAGCTCAGTGGTTCCGCCGCCTGCCTCGCAAGTACAAGGTCCTGAGTTTGATCCCCGGTACCAAAAAAAGAAGAAGCTGCCTGGCTTCTGGCTTACAGGCCTTTTTATTTCTTTCCACAATGCTGACTGCATCCTGCTTTTCATCAGTTCTGGGGGGGTTAGGTGTCCAAGTCATCTTCCCCCTCAAGCTCTGAGCCTCAGTGTTTATATGCTAAGGAATTTGCATATTTTAGTCGTTTGGATTTGTATCTTCTCAAATTCTATTTGACCTTAGGAGAAGCTGGTTATTGAGAAATTTCTCTGCAAATACTAATTAAAAATAGGGGATTTAGCTCAGTGGCACCGTGCCTGCCTTGCAAGCACAAGGTCCTGAGTTCGATCCCCAGTACCCGCCCCAAAATATTATTCCATCTTTATATTGATATTTTAAATATCTGGTCCTGGAGGAAGAGCCAAACATGAACCAAGTGATAAGCCATGTGGGGATGTATTAAAATCACAGTTACATTTCAAGTTTGTAACTATGCTAAATTGGTAATACTCAGCATTAGATTCTCCTACATAGACTTAGGAAATTCTGTGTCAACTTGAGGCTTATATGACAAAGAATTAGAACTTGACTCTTCTAGGAAGCAGAGTAAAAGCAAACATGATTATTTTACCATAGTATCTTAAGACACTTAATGTATATGTTTAGAAATTTTATTTAAAATTAGCTGAAGGTCAGCTAAGTTGAAAAATCCTTAATCACAGAAAAATAAACAATCCCTTCTTGCTTTATATCTCCCTTGTACTTCCATTCTTACTTTCCTTCTCCTCCCTCTTCTCCTTTTGTTTCTGTGTATGTATTGTTCTTTTTTGTGTGTGTTTCTGTGTAAATTTTAAATCAACATACTGTATAGGATACTAAGATATTCATTCTGCTTCATTGTCACTTAAGATCCATGTTCTTTGTTCTTTGTGTATCTGATCATTGCTACTAAGAACTGGATAGTACTTGATAGTAGGCAGTACAGCACATTGAATTGTTCCCAGAATAGTAGTTATTATATATCACGTTATGCTACAGTGACTACAAACACTTTCTCAGTAGTTAAAAAGATAACATTACATTTTAACTTTAATGTCATGCATCAATAAAGTGTTTCAGTTCTGCGGTGCAAAACTTTACAGCATATAAGCCATCAATAAAACTAAAATAGGGATTTGGGGTGGACAGATATACACGAGAGAAATATTTAATCCACATGCTTATGTCTAGGGAAACATCATTTATTCAGAGCTATTGCAAAGAATGCTATAACTACCCTGATGATTCTGTACGAAAGGTAGAACATGACACTGTAAACTTAATGTTACTGGAACTTTGTCCCAACCACCAAGCAAGGAAACCTCACAACCAAACCAGTATGGTGTGTTCATTCAGGACTACTGGACTTCTCGTGCTCACTGCTTCTTCCAGGATTCCAAGGCCCTGGGACTAAGCCCTTGAGTTTCCCATAACATTACTTGCGTTGTTCCTGACAAGAGCCTTAGCAGAAGCAGCGTCATTAGGGATAATGCCTCTTGTATTCCATCTGAGTTCGCACTCTTGCTGCTTCATTTCTTAGCTTGGTGACCTTGAGTATGTTGCTTAATTCTCTCTTCCTTTTAAATTGCTTGCTCTGCAGAATAGGTGCAGTGCCACAGGTGTGTTGTGTGAGAGTTAAAGGAGATGAAACCTGTGAAACTCTTAGAAGCATGGGCAGCACGTGTGAAGGGCTTGTTAGACTTTGTCATTTGACCACTGTGTTTCTTTTCTCTTCTCAGTCATGCCATCAGCAGTGTCCAAATTGCAGCTTCCTTTCTCTTTCCTGCTACCTTGCCACCTGGAATGCATCCCTGCTTTTCCACCTGCCTGGATAGTCCTACCTGTTCTTGCCCTTTTCCTATGGCAATTCCTCTGTGTCCCATCCCCCGTTCACATCCAGGTGGCACTCTGGGCCCCACACATTGTCAACTATTAGGCCACCTGCCGTGAGACACCTGTGCATTTGTCTCTTAAAGTACTTTAGGTTCTGGAGGCTTCTTTCGTCCCATGGAAAGTAATTCTTCTCAGTATCAATACCAGGAATGGTGCTTTTCCTAAACCCCTGGTTTCCTATTGACCTCAGTGGCACCAATATCTGCTTATGTTTGTTTCCCTGTCTGCAGTGACTGCTGGAAAGCTCAGGGTTGCCATCTGTCTGGGCACTGTGCTTCATGATGGAATTTATATACCAGTCTTTCCCCAACTTCATATTATTTATTTTTCTCACATATATTTCCCCGCAATCTTGCTCTCTGCACTTTTGAGACTCTGCTGTATTTATTTTGCAATCATATTCAATCCTTTTGGGAATGAAGTGGAGCATAAATAGTGCGTATTTTAGTTTGAGGCAGCATGGAGGCCCAGCAGGAGCCAGAACTGTGCAGTGAATAGGCCAGGGAATGTACAGACAGTGGCTTTGACAAGTTGCCACCCTTTCCACCTTTTCATTTTCTTTTTTTTTTTGGTACCAGGCATCAAACTCAGGACCTTGGGCTTGCGAGGCAGGTGCTGGAACCACTGAGCTAAATCCCCAGTCCTACCTTTCCATTTTCTACTCTGACTAAAGACCAAATGAACCTGCCTCACTCGCAGGGTAGTTTTACTATTTAAATGAGATAATGTGTGTGAATGTCTAAAGGGCTCCTAGGACCTAGATACTATTCTTTGAATATTGCATCTATCTTATGTCTTCCAGTATATCTTTAAAAATTAGGCTATAGGGCTGAGGATTTAGCTCAGTGGTTTCAGTGCCTGCCTTGCAAGTGCAAGGTCCCAAGTTCGATCCCTGGTACCAAAAAGCCAAAACAAAACAAAAAAATTAGGCTATACCCGGGTCTGGGGGAGGGTGTGGTTTGGTGATAGAGCACTTGCCTAGCATGTGTTTGAGGCCCTAGGTTTGATCCCCAGGCCAGCAAAACATAACGTTATACTGGGCCGGGGATTTAGCTCAGTGGTTTCGCCGCCTGCTGCGCAAGCGCAAGGACCCGAGTTCAATCCCCGGTACCAAAAAAAAAAAAAGTTATACTGATGAACAGATTTTTCTAAATTAATTATGAAGAATAGATACTGTCCTTAGCTGATGTTGAACTTCTGGGCTCCAGCACATGCCCATCTGCTTAGTGAATGCCCACAGTTCATCTTAGATATCTGGAAAATTATGAGTATTCATTGCTCACCAGAGACAAAAGGGGCACCAATGTGAAGATATGGCTGCATCTATGAAACTTCAGAGTGGGTTCTCCCTCTTTCTAATAAAGTTTCTGATCATTAATGTCACGTAAGAACACTGGGTTTCTGAGTATATCAAGGAGTTGAGAGGCTGTCCTCCAAAGGCTTCTGGGCATAGACCACTCACTGGTCATCCACAGTCACAGTGTCATACACTGATCCTGCTGGGACCGGGGATCCTTTCAGAGTCCAGTCTGCTTCCTAGTCTGACCTCTTCTCACTCCTCCCCCTCAGCCTTGTAGTGGAACCTGGGAACCTGCATCCTGTGGGAAGACAGAGGACCAGATGACAGCTTCTGCTCAGACTCGTAAATACGTGAACGCATTCTCAGCCCGGACTCTGGTCATGTGAGACATTTCCAGAAAAGCATTATGGTTTTCAGAACACTTCAAGTTGACTTGGGATATATCATTCCTCGACATGACTTTCCATGATTGGGAGAAGAACCTATTTTTGTTGTGGTACAACAGTTGAGAGCAGCACCAAGTGCATTTAGTTGGGTGAAATCTTTTGGATTTCACCCAACTAAAAAGGATTTTTAAAAAATAAATAGCAGTCTTGCCTAAATTCTTAGGTAATGAATTTTATAACCAGTTAATATCTTGAAGCAGATTTTTTTAAAAAAATAAAATGATTTATTTGTATTTTAAAGGGGCCAACAGATCAGTATTTTTTCCTGTGTTGAGTTTTTAAAAATTTTACACAAAAAGGTACTCCAGTATTCTACTTTCCTCAATCACTAAATATATGTGCAGATTTTTAAAAATCAGTAAAAGCATTACTATAAATGTTGACTAAACACCATGGAACAATTAATGGAGATTGTAAATGCTCATTTATGGTTAATAACATTGGGGGTACATTTATTGTACTCAACCATTTTATGAGTTTTTTGTTAGCTTGCTTTAAAAATTATTACTGTATGAAATAGTTTTATAAAAAATTATATTTTTATTCAGTAATTTAATTTTGTAAATGCCAAATAAAAACTGTTTTGCTGCTATGGTCTTAGCCTGTAGACATGCTGCTAGTATCAGGGGCAGTAGAGCTTGAATGGAAAGAGAAGAAACTTGGTGTTAGGTAATTGACTATGCACTAGTATCTCAGACTTTTTTATTTTTTAAAAATATACATATTTTTCCTTTTGTAATACATTGGAAAAGTTGTTTGGGAGATTTTGCATTTTGTTGTTATGTGTTTTTGTTTTTTGGTTCTTTTTTGTTGTTGGTGGTTTATAAAGCATGCATTGCACTTCTTTTTTTTTTTTGGGAGATCTATGTTGTTGATGTTCTATGTTTTGTTCAAGTTCAGCCTGATTGTTCTTTAATTCAGGGGTTCTGAGTTTGATCAGCATCCCCATGGTTTTCAAGTCTATGATATCAGAACTGCCTCACAGGTCCGGTGTTTGCAGCTGAGGAGAAAAAAGAGTCAAGCCCTGTGTTTGCCTCTGGGAGAAAACAAAGACTGAGGTCAATAGTGAGTTTCTGCCTTAAGAACATTTGGTGCAAGATGGCCAGCACTGAACCTTTGATGACAGTGTACTTACTGCCTTGTAGCAAAATAAAGCTGTGCCCTTATTTGACTTATTTCGGACTTCTCTCTTACTTGTGATTGTGTATGATAGTTGTATTTTTAAGAAAATGGAGTGAACTCAAAGAAATTTCCTTTCTTAAAAATTTGAATGCCATCTGAACTTCACTGAAGAAGCCAAAAATTATTACTGTGAAGAAAGAACAAGCAAACCAAGTTAATAGTTCACAAAATAACCACAGTAACAACTGGGAAGACTTCCACGATGTATCCATCAGGGGGTGCAGGTTTTGAATTAGACAGTTGATTTACAAAAGTACTGATACCCAGGATGTGGGCAGAGTGTAGGTAGGCAGAGGATAGGGGTGCACATGGGTACTGAAGGGTCTTGCCACCTGGAAAGGGAGAGTCATGGAAGGCAGGAGCCTTTGGCAAACCACTGCCACCTAAAGAGATCTCACAGGGAGGGAATCAAGGGCAGCTCCTAACTCTGCTTCCCACCTAAACCCAGGGATCTTTCTTCACTGGCAGAATCAACCAAAAGCCAGAGGACAAGGGAACATATGGATGGATATAAGCCAGAAGGTCAGACTTCTAGGGCATCTCAGCATCCTGCATTCAGCCCAACTTCTCCATTTCACAGATGAATCCCCACTGGCTCTGTCTCAACTCAGTATTCTTTTTGCTGTTCTATAATGTCCCTTGAACATAAATTCCTTTTAATTTCTTTTAGTCATTCTGTTGCATCTCTAACTTGGAGTTTTCATATGCATGATGCAATTGGTATTCATAAAGCCAACATTTGTTACACCTAATTACCAGTCTTTAAGACTGTTTTGCATTGTTTGATTGTCCTGATAGATATGACATTATTTTATCTATCATTTTAGGGCTTCATGCTGACTGCCGCTTACAGGAGTTTGAATTTGGACAAGTTACTAAGCTGTTTGAGCCTTTTCTTATCTAGGAAATGAGTTCTTTCCTACAATGAAAGTTTTGTTAAGTTAAGCATTATACAAATATTTATATTACCTGGGCTTTCCATAATTAAGTACATGCTGAGAAGTGTCATACTCATCTGGCTGGTAATGTGCATTGCCAATTACAGAGTTATACTTAAATGTCACATTAGAATCATTAATGACAAAAGTGAACTGAATATCATGTAAACATATACAAATATATATGAATATACGTTTTTTTCAATAAAAATATAACCCCAAATCTAGAGTCTAAAAACTCCTAATAGGGGTAGAAAGTTAAGATAATGGTTTTTTTTTTTTTTTGGTACTGGGGATCAAACTTGGGACCTTGCACTTGCCAGGCAGGCGGCAGAACCACTGAGCTAAATCCCTGGCCTTGCAGGGGTAGAAAGCTAGATTTTTATATCTAAACACCCTAACACTCATTTCACAAGTATCTCTAAAAGACATTTGTCCTGATCATCTTTCATATCTATAAAGAACATAGAATAGTAAAGAGATTGATGATAACAAAACTGTTGAGCAAGTTTTCAGCATTCTGAGGGTTTTTTTTTTTTATCATAAGGAACGCTACTGGTGATAAAATGAGTGAATGAGTAAATATAGATGGAGACAAATTTTTACAGAGTCACCACAGGAAAGTGAGCTTTCATCAGATTAATCAGGTACCTAGCAGCTAAGGTCGTATGCCAAGAACCATGAACAATTTAGATAATTTGCTTCTAGATCATCTCAGTGTGTTGAATAAGGTATTAGAGATGGTAAGTGTGGGAGCAAAGAACTGGTTTAAATACTCTGTGAGAGGGTTAGGGTGTAGCTCAGGGGCAGAGCTGGAGCTTGGCATGCATATAACACTAGGTTCCATCTCTGGGACATAGAAACAAGACAAAGAACCTCTGTGGATGCTCATCTATGTATTTAATGCATAACCACACGCAAGGTGAATGTTGTTCTACTACACAGTGGCTTCAGGAGAGCAGTGGTCAGAGGGTTCTAGTTCATTGCTGCAGTACTTTGTTTATTAGTTTTGGATGCTGGAAAGTCCACAGCCAAGGTGCTGGCAGAATCAGTTTGGTGAGGGCCCACTTCCTGTTTCATAGAAGGCATCTGTTTACTATATTTCACATGGTAGAAGAGTCTGGTCTGTCTTTTTTAGTGATCCTGTTCTCTACAGGAGGAATTCAGGAAGTAAAATAAATGGGATAGCTCACTAATCCCAAATGAACTAAAAGGTCCTTTGAGTTCTTATCTGTAAAGCTGGCAGCTACATGTGTCATTCAGAGAACAGGAGAGACACTAAGAATACTGATTCCTAGCCTCCAGATGGGACTGACAGGTGTGAGAGATGTCCAGGGAAAAACTACCTTGTTTCTTTAGAAAATAGTGTTAGAACTGGAAGGAACCTTAGATATTATCAGGGCCTTCCAGTAAGGGGTCAGGGCATTGCTTCATCAAAAGAAAATCAGTTTTGGAGTCCGACCAGTCTGGGTTTCAATTTTGCCCTTTCTTTACCTGCTCTGTGACTATGTGAGTTTTATTTCCTCTCCCTAACTTCATTTTACTTATAATTTACTTATATTGAAGATAAAAGTACATCTCACGGTGGTTGGGTATTGTGAAAATTCCATAAGATAATAAATGCCTTCTTGTATCTCCATAAAAATTGCAGTGCCTTTTAATCAGCTAAGTCACCATAGTGACTTAAGGTCACAGAAAAACCATGACATCCGGCTGGATGTGTGTTCCAGCAATCCAACTGGATTGTGTGTTCTCTGTCTTAAAATTAACTTCAAATTTTAATGATATCTTCCCAAAATATTCCTAATTATTCTCGACATATGATCAATCCTTCTTATACTAATGTATGTGGGAGCAGCAGGGCTTAATTTTCCATGAACTTGTTGGTTTGTAATCCCAACCGTAATTTACACGCGTTCGCTTTCCTCCACTGTCAATAATTATATCATTAGTAATGACACAGTGTTTGGTAAGTGCTCCCTGCTGCTAGAAAAGGAGGGAGTGGGAGGGAAGGTTTCTGGCAGTGAGAATAAAGGTGATGTGGGAGCATGACTGTTGAGAAACTAAAAGGAAAACTTGGAGGGGAGGAATCTGGGACTGGAGAGGAGAGTCAGATAAATTGAGTTTGAACTTTGTCCTTAGAGATTTAGGGAGTCATTGAAAAGTTTTAGGCAGGGAAAGAAAAAAATTAATTGATATTTGATCTATAGAAATAATCCTATTCAAATCCGTCATTCATAGATAGTATAAAAATGAAACCTCATGTTTCAAGGACAGATGATTGCAGTGTCTGAATTTCATATCCACATAATTGGTTTTTACATAGTACATTTCCTATTCCTTCTTAATTTCAGAAAAAGGGCCAGGGATGTAGCTCAGCGGCACAGCTCCTGCCTGGCAATTGGAAGGCCCAGAGTTTGATTCCCAGTATAAAAAAAAATAAAGTCCTTTAATCCTAGCAAATCTTAGTGAAAAAAATCTTTTTATCTGAAGCTCATAAAAAGCTATTTCCACATTTTATATAGTTCATAAAGTAATTAGTTCAAGAAGAATCGATTGCATAAAGTATTTTTCTCCAGTAAGAGCAGAACATTTTCAACAAGTAATTTTTTTAACAACCGTCCCTGTCATTTTCAAAAACCAGATCTTCTACTAACTTTTTTTAAATGGAGTAATCCTTGATTATATTTTAATACAATGATATATTTGCCCATTCGGGCATCCTGCCAATATTTGTGTTTAAAGGTATTTTTGGCTTCATTTTATATTTTATTTCACCCTTTAATGCCGAATACTTCTTGTAGCCAGTGGTTCTCAGACTTTACTGAGCATCAGAAGCACTTGAAGAATTTGTTTAAAATGGAGCCTTTTGTTGAGGTGGGTGTGGTGGTGCACACACTCAGGAGTCTGAGGCAGGAGGGTCACCATGAGTTCGAGGCCAGTTTGAACCACATAGAAAGACCCTGTCTCAAAAGAAAAAAAGTTTTTTTATAACCTCACCTTCAGGGATTGATATGCATAAATCAGATGTAGACTTGGAAATGTGTAACTGACAGGCTTCCAGGTAGGTCTAACACAGGTGGTCTGAGGGGACTGAGGTAGAATACTTACAAAATAATAACAGTGATAGGTAGAAAGAAGACAAGGAAAACTGGAATTTTTTTTTTAAATTTATTTTTTTGATACCAGGGATTGAACTCGGGACCTTGCACTTGGGAGGCAGGTGGCGGAACCACTGAGCTAAATCCCCGGCCCTGGAATTTTTAAATTGTACTTTTAAGGGAAACTGTGGTTTTAGGACACAAAAGTTACTGAAGCCTTTTGCCCTTCTTGAAAATTTACTAAAAAAAAAAAAAAAGGAAAATTCCTGAGAGTCTTAAAGACATAATCATTAGCTTGTAAATTGGGCTCTGGGCCTGTGCTTTTCACCTGTAAATGGTGCTTCTTTCAACAGACTTCCATCCTTAAGGAAGCAGCATTATTGCATTATTTGTAGTGGGCAGCAGATCCCAGCTTCAAACACATGTAAATGGTTTCCATTGTGCCGCAGTGCAGCCGGTAACCACATCCTAGATCGCAGTCTTGAAGACACCCCCAAAGGTCCAGAAATATGTCCAGCTCCAGATCATAATGTGCCTCTCTCTTCGCTTGGAGGTCTTCACTTTCTTCTTTTTTTTTTGATACTGAGAATCGAACTCAGGACCTTGCGCTTGTGAGGCAAGCCAGGCGGCGGAACCACTGAGCTAAATCTCCGGCCCCCTTCACTTTAGTCTTGCTAAGTGTACTTTAAAAATTTTGCCAGGGCCGGGGATTTAGCTCAGTGGTTTCGCTGCCTGCTGCGCAAGCGCAAGGACCCAAGTT